TAGTCTTATCATAGTTGAGAAAGAAATCATAGGTCAAGGGTCAGCACGTTGACTGCACGATGGTCACCGATGACCGGAGCTTCCAAGTTATTTGAAAATAATTATAATTCGTAAGATAACTGGCGTCGGGTGGGAATGTTTAATAACGCAAATAACTGGATCATAGTATAACTTAACAAAACGCTAAACTTCCGTGGCAGTCACCGTGTTAACGAGCCCTTAACTTTCAGTTTGATTTTCTGTTTTATTCTTCATTTCGACGCTTCACTGGCGATCTGGAGGCTGTAAGTGCTGGTCTTCTTTGTTAATCTTGTAAATTATCGTCAGAGACAATAACGAGAACTGTGATCTCAGCCGAGTGTTTCATCCGTTGTTTTGGGAATGAAGGAGATGTTCAGTCTATAGATTTTAAAATTGGGGAATCCAGAATGAAATTCAGTTGACCGGTGCATAAGCAGATCTCATAGAAATTTGGATGAACAGCTTCGCATCTAATTATGAAATTCTGTCGAAATCCCATATTCCTGCGTATTCAGTTTTTTAATTCGTGCGCCCTATTTCATACATACACAGGAACAAAACAAATTCTTATAATTCTCAGTATTCCAAATTAAAGCAATCCCACGGAAAGATAACCGAAAAGTATTCCACGAAATTTCGGATCTACGTACACATGCGTACATTAGAGGATTCTAATTTGACAGGAAACTAGGCCATAGAACGTCAAAAAGTTTTAACGCGCAAGGATTCGGACTTTGTTTTCATTTTGAAGCTGATCTACATAATTTTCCGGATAATTCGTGCAGTATAAAAAGTAACTACGATTTATTTCCTAGCTACCAAACTTCAAGAAATGTGTAAATAATCTTATTCGTCTGTACAAACATCGGCGTCAATTATTCTTTCCGACTGAAATCGAAAATGAGAACGATTGGTATCGATCAGTCCCTATTTTCTACTGATCGACAATATTAAATGTTTGCACATGAACCGAGAATAAAAATGGTTTGAAAGTTACACGTGTACATACTCTCGTGTTGCTATCTGTAAAACCGTTGTAAACGGAAAAGGGTTTCACGAGCGAATTCCGCATCGTTTCAGAGAATAATAATGCGGCGCATGCAGCAGATGGAGAGCATTAATAAGGAAATAAGAAATTGACTTTTACAGAAGCGTGCGCGAAGGAAATACACGAGCCCGCCTAAATCGAAATCGCTGACCGAATAATTTCTTTCAGCTACATTGCCGGTCTTGGTTAGGTATAAGTACAAGTCGAACGTACAAGACCGGTTCTCTCCCCATTTTCAAAGAAAGAAAATATTATTCTGCTAGGGATGAATGAAACTCATAAACGAAAATGGAACACAAATAATTCATTGAATTGCTCGCTCCACGAGTTTCATTATACTCTGATAAAATAATATTATTCTATTCCGTTAATACTGAACACTGATTTCCTATTATCCGCGTACAATGTAAAACCACAAATGGAACTGAGCAGCAGAATCAAAGGTTTCGATAGAATAGAATTCAAAAAAACGTCTATTTTACTTCAAGTGGAAATTTCATTTGAAGATAATACATTGATAATAGCGAAGTAGTTTGCTTTGATCCGTGGGGAATGAACAACATTGATTTTTGTTAAATTAGTTTAGAAATCCTTAAATTAAACGTTAAACATTTTATACTTCTACTTTGTTCCAAAGTTACGCCATTATATTTAAGAGCACATCGTCGACTGCATTCGGCGCAAGTAAAAATGGTTATTATGCTACTTATTTTAACGTTGCAACTGATTTTCAATTTGAAAGTTCAACTTTAACGCAAAATAAACTCGAGCGTCCAATTGCGAAAAAAGTGTCGAACTTGCAATGCACAGAAAAAGTAGTTCGGCAGAGTTGCAAATTTACCCCAACACTCAGGGGTTTTAACAAGCCGTACCGAGTCGCTTGCTTCAACGTTTTCCTAAATTTCAATTTTTAAAATCAATCTTTAACTAGATGATCCTTGGTTACGAAAGAAAATTTCAAAATTACACTGTCCAGGAAAACACGCTTCGATGCTATTAAAATTCAGCTCGAGACTCAAGCCTCGAACCATCCGTCCCGCAGACCTTCCGCGAGATATCCGGCAAATACGTTTCCAAACTCAATCTCTGGTACTTACAGTCTCTCGCTCGATGAGGATGGAGTTCAGTTGTCACTTGGGTCAATTTGTAGATTAACTAGCTTCTCACCGATTTCGATGCTTTTCAAATATGCTGTAAAAATCGATATTTCCAACGACAGTCTTCTCTTGCAAAAACGTCGGACTTCTTTGCTTTCGGAGATATTCTCGTTTGCTGTCATTGTGCTGTGGACCTTTATGCGAATAAAAATCGTTAAGAATATCATTGGAAAAGTAGGAGGATAAAAAATAATTTTTTCCTAGTGAACAGTATAAACAGCGCTGTACTTTGGATATTTTATATGTTTTCTCGTATCGTACGCATTCTGTGCAATGTTACACCTGCAAACTTCGTATAAATGTATAAAAATCCACGGTTTAGGCAAACTTTTTGCATTCACTGGTATCTTTCTCTCGCAATATATAGAAACAAGTTTCATTTAAATAACAGAGATTGGTAGGATACATTCGCCATAGTTAGAACGCAGTTCCACAAAGTTGTATGCGCGTTAAAATTAATCGTATAACTTCATTACTGTTTGGCAATAGTCGTGAATCCGATATGTAATTAAACTGATTCATTTGCTTTATTTACACGAGATACAGAATCCCATTCCGCTTTCACGCGTCCGGTACCAGCGTCACAAAGTGACGATTAAGATTGCGTATTCCGTTGGGAAGAAATAAATTACTTACATGTGTTTTCATTTAACACTAAATCTAGCATACATGTCAAAATGATCCGTTGCCGATCTCTTCTTTTTGCAATTATTAAAAAGATGATAGATGTTTCTTGGAGAAATTATTAAATAAATTCAATTAGAAATACTCAAACTAAATTGTTAATCAATTAAAGTCTCGATAGTTTCAATGTTAAAGGATTCCTCCTTTTCGCAATCACTAAATAAATAAAAGATGTTTCTCGGAGAAATCATTAAAGAAATTTATATAGAAATACCAAAACTGAATTGTAAATCAATTAAAGTCTCGATAGATGCACCCTTGAAGTGTCTATAGGGGAATTTCAAAGTCAATTGAACTGCTGAGTAGTTTTAGTGTTAAAATCGTAACACGCGATCCTAATACGCAGAAAGACGACAGGATTCTTTTCTTAAACTCCATTCGCATTTCAAACAATACCTCCTACTCAGTAAACCATCGCAACCGTTAAACCAACTGCAGCCGCGATTACCTCACGTTTGACATGTATCTCACGTCTACAGCTCGAATTCTAAAGAACGCTAGGCTCTACAACTCAAATTCTCGTTCGCTAAACTCCAGTCCCTGAAAAACTCGATGAAACCTCTCCAACTCGATCTCACGTATCTCCTCGCGACTGCGCCCACGCTCCACAAGAGTTCGACTGCACTAAAATTCGGATAAATTCAAACATCTCGTACGCCAGAACAAGGGTCGACAGCCACCGAAAGCGGCGAGGAACTAGTTAACCTTTGGCAACTGTTGGCGCCTAAAAGCGCTTGAAAAATTTGCTTTCGGTGTACCGTTAGCTCCCATAGGCGCCTGTAAAATGTTATTCGCGATAATCGCTAGCTCAGATCTGACGCAAGAGAATCCTAATTCAACGATCACATCTTCCGTCAGTCACATGTTATAGAAATCTCATTATTTCAGATTGCTTTCATTTAGTTCAATTTAGTGATTTGATGGTTTCAACAAACTTTCTTACAAACACGCATTGGCGCAAAATTCTGCAGATAGCTAAGGGGCTAATGACTAACGGTGTAAGTTATTCATTATTGACATTACCTTCGTCGAAAGTTTCTATTAGCTTCATAAAACAAACACGTAAATTTGTCGAGAGTCTGATTTAATTCTCTTCTTAGCACGTTCGCTACCAGCGTCACATATGTGAGAGAGGCGCAATCTTATATCTTACGTAAAGCAAATGAAATTAATCTTACAGATATTGTTATTTCAAGTTATAAGCTACGGCATTATATTTAGGAACGCAATGACTTGTTCCAGTTTCATTTTTTCGATATTTTCTACTCGGCTACTGTTGGCACTAAAGCTGCCTAAAAAATCTGGTTTGAGTCTACTGTTCTCGCGAAGAAAAGTTGTTGGCAACAATTGCAGCGAAGTTTGTATCATCCGCAAGTGAATTTTAATTCGATTACATCACCCGTCAATCATATATTCTATAAATCTAATTATATATTGATTGAATTCAGTTTGTTTCACTGTTTTCACATTTCAATACATTTTCTTCGACAAACGCATCGACGCAAACCTCTGGCCAAAAGGTTAACACTACTGAAAAGGTAAACGTGCCTCGATTCGTTTCAATCGATTCTTTCAATCTCCGCGAGCATAGTCACAGCTATTCCAGTCCTAAATTCGACTTGCCGGTTCCCAGAGACTTTCTCCGGAAGAAGCGTTGACGTAAAATAGTGTCGTAGCCGAAGGGTTAATCTGAACACAAGTTCACCGTCACTTGGCTGGTAGCCGCGCGTCGGAGGACTATAGATGCGGGTGATGATACGAGGCGTCACGGCGATTGATAATAGAAATACGAGAAGCATCGAGGGGGATCGAGGGCGTCGGCGGCGAAGGGTGCGAAGAAGAGAGAGAGAGAAGGAGAAAGAGTGAGAATGAGAATGAGGGAGAGAGAGAGAGGAGAGAGGCCTGGCCGAGAGAGGGATATACACCGTGAAACGTGCCGCACGATTCGAAGGAGCCGGCTGGCCCGACCTGTGCACGAACGACCAAGGGCTGGAAAGCCCGGAGTGGGGCGGCGGGAAGCGTCGCGACGCTTCTCGGTAGCGCCAGGAACTAAAAGTCCGGGCGACACGACGTGCCAGTGTTCAGCCCGCGATCGTCGCGAGCGTACGCGTATTTTTGCCCTGGCTCACCTTCACCCGTTGCGCTCCGAGATTTTTTCTCTCCGTCAGACTCTCTCCGTTCCTCCGACGCGCCGGCAAGCCGCGCGTCCTGCACGCGCGTCGATTAAATTCGAGTCGCCCAAAGAGAACCGAAAGGGGACCAAAAGGGAACCGAAAGGGAACCGAAAGGGGATCGAGCCACCTTCAAAGGATCTCTTCTTCGAGGACTTAAGGGGAGCGCGCGCGTGCTTCGGGGAGAGAACGAAAAGGAGAAACGTTCCTCGAAAGGTTGTAACAGTGTAATCGGTGACAAATGTTTGAACGATGAGTTCCCTGGCACGAGGAGAAGCTGTTTCGCGGATACAGTTGCTCGTCGAGGACGATCCTCGAGTAGTTCGTTGGTACTTCGTGTGCGTGTTTCTCTCTGGATATGCCAGCGTTTTGGGGAATTAACGAGGAACCTGGATGTAATCCTGGTTACGCCGGTTCTTCGTCCGGAGGACCAACCGGAATGGTACCAGTAAATCGTTGGACCATGGTATTCGCCGATTCGCGCGCGATTCCTCCAGTTTCTCGCGTATACCTGTTTCCCTTTTTCTTCGGTTTTTTTCTTAATAACCGCCGCGGGCTGAAAGGATAGATTTAGTTCATTGATAAACGCCGGGGTAACGGCGTTAAGGGTTTTCTGTAATGACTGTCGGCGTAATCGTCGCGATAAATCTGACCCGGCTGTTTTCGTATTCGGAAACGGGACTGTTGACCCGCCGATCGATCGTCTTCTTCGTGATCCGTGCTGGATATTTCGACGGAGACCTGTGCAGGAAGAGTCTACGGATCGCCTCTCTGTGTTCTCGATAATCGGGGAAGCTCGGTGATTGTGAAATTGAAGTGATTTAAACGTTCCTCCGCCTCGGACGGCTCTCGCCGGGCGCGAGGATTCTTCAACCCCTTTCGGGGTGTAATGCACGACGGAATGGGAATCGAAATCGAGTCGCCGGAAGCTCGTCGCGCGCGATACTATTTACGATCTATGATCGTTCGGCGACGCCGAGGACGCTTGATGGATCGGAATGATCTGTCGGCGGCTTTTTAGTCGAGTAATGGGAAATTTCAAGGTGTTTCCTCGGAACATTATTGCAATACTCGTATTTATTCTTATATTTATACGTTGAGGGGTGTTCTGTTCAATTTTAATAATCAGAATTTTGAATAATTCATCCGTGTTATGATAACAATAGGATACGTTTCGGTGATTCATATTTCATCGAATCATTCGCATATCGCAAACATCGCGTTAAACTTCTAGCTTCCACTAACTCATTCACACATGATAAGAAAAATCGAAATTCCAATATTTACGACACTCAACTAAATACCAAATGAAATAAGTAAATTTCAATAATCACAATGTTCGATGCCTCGTTCGCTACGGAAAATAAAATTTATCTCACCCCTGCTACAAAGCAAACCCTGCCGAATAAGAGCAACTAAGCGCGTAACTCCACTAATTCAACGCTAAACGTACCGCGACCGATCGAATGACCTCTTAAAATTTGATTAAAAACTCTACATGTCCGTTCGTCAGTTCAACCCCACCCGAACACCCCTATCATCCTATTAATCAGCTCTCTAATTTTTCTCTTCCCTGTCGTTTCCGTCTCAATTTCAAGAAATATCGATCGTCCAGCTCGTTCGCCTCTTTCGCGACCAATTATTCGATTGGTTACGGTAAGCATAGGTACACGCAAAGTGTCGGTGCGCTCAGTGTCGAACAACAGACATAAAAACGAGTTACTTTCCCCGTCCCGTGCGCCGAGCGTCGCGCAAACTGCGAACTGCGGAGAGAGCGCCGCAGCAGGGTGGATTTTCATTTTCATTTCTTTGATGGGATCGAAGAGCTTGCCGGATATACGTGACTTTCGGTGGATACGTTACAAATTCCCGGGCGCCGCAGTATCAACGGCGCAACGGCGGATCTTATTCGACGTCGAACCGTCGCGTTGGGATTGGTAACAGGTCCGGGCCGCCGCCGCTGCCGCCGCCGCCGCCGCCGCCGCTGCTGCTGCGGCTTAACGAGTTCAACGAGTTTTTCTCGGTCGACCGTTTGGTAATTGAGGATCCGGCCGACGCGCGGAATTTCCCACTGATACCGATACCCTTTATCGACAAATTAATCTGTATTGATTGGCCGCGGCCGGACAAAGAACCGTGTTTTCCTTCCGTATGAGCCGATCCACCGGCCTACAGGTGTTCCCAAACAAGCCGCTGGACCAGAACGGTCCCTCGGTGTAAGTAGGAATTTTCTATGGCTTCCATCAGCCAACACCGCCGGATAAATTGGACCGTTTGTTATGAAAGCGCTGTAAGTCCGTTTTTCCTGGGAGTTTTTCTTCGATTTTTTCCTTTTTGACGGTTCCCCTTTCGATTCGCTGGGAAAGAGTAACGGAGTCTAGTGAAGTTGTTCGCGTTGGTAGGGATTACAGTGCAAGTTTATGATATGTACATAACGTTTTGTGGGAATTTAACAGGATTTCTACCGTTTGGAATTTCAACTTGAAATTCTTTTCTCGGTTTCATCATTTTGCCGCAATCGAGTTTTCGACGTTTAGTGAATTTGATCATCGCTATTGGAACGGAAGGTCCATTTAGAATAACGACTAAACTTGGGGAGTGATTTTGAATGAAAATTTCGAACGGTGCCTTTTCACACATTCGGTAGGAATAGTGTTAACGGAGGATTTTGTCTGTACGCGGATTTATACCAGTTTTATAAGAAGTGATTGTGCTGTTCTTTAAGAACGAACTTTTCGTTGATTCGAGTACTTGCGAGGATGCTTGGGAATGTGAATTATTTATGCGAATTTCGTTATGTAAACGATGCTTTGTGGGAATTGTACCGATGGATCTTCTTTGGGTTAGGGGGTATATGGAATTCTTTTTTAACTCTTTCCTGTCGCGAGGTGACTTTTACTCGTCACTTGATTTCATACAGTAAAACTATCAAATTTGATATTGAATATTAAACTTAATATGATACGTCAATCCGTAGAATATTTAAATAAAATAAAATTGCTCCTCAATATACGTGTCACTTGAAATTAGTTCGAAAATTAGTTAGTAAATGCTAAAACATTTCTAATAAAAAACTTTCGATGGGTCAATGATTGATTTAATTGACGATTTTGAAATGTAAAAGGTAAATCGTGTGTTTGTGTCATAATTATCTCGATTTTGTTTTAATGGACTTACTTCGATTTTATAACGTACGGTTCGTTTTACCCGAAGTCTTCGATTGAAATATGCGAACTGAATGTCTTTTTGATCGGTGACCGAGTAGAATCAATGACATTTTTTGCAATGGATTTATATTATTTTATTCTGAATTATCTTCCGACGAACAGCGCCTGAATTTGAAATTTAGTAAAACTCGTACGTTCAACTTGGATCATATCAGAAAGCTGTTAACATAGAATTTCAATTGACGTTAGTGTAATCCGTATTCATTCTTTTATGCGAACAGATTTTCGAACGGAAGCTCGGTGTCAAGCGCACCCTGCAATTTATTAAAGTTTCCCACGTATATAAAAAGAGTAGATAACTGGAAATTGGAATTTTTGTTTGCTAATAATCTTCCAGTCAGCTCAGACAATCTTCAACGCTGCACCTTCACTCGTATTAACATTATTCACGTATGTTTTTAGATAAAAATAAATCTCGGAACAGGTGTTCGGAGCCGAGCATCGGATATTTTCATTCGAATTCCTCCATACGAGTGGAAACTTTCGAAAATGAAAAATTTGTTTCACTTCATACGATGTCGGGAAGGGATGAAATTTCTATTTTACACTTTATTGTTAGTTGAATCAATGTTATACTTAGTTGAGACTGTTCATACGTTTTCATTAAGGAAACTAGGGATTCGTTAATTTGATTCAGTAACGTTGCATCTTTTAACGCTAGGTTCACGAGGATCATTTCGACTTATTTCGAACTTCGCGAGCGAAATTAGAGAAATCGATTACTATTGTGTATGGCTCGTACATTCAGTGATTCAAATGATCTTACAAATTTTCGACAGATTTTCAATCTTGTGACTGTGAAATACTGCACGACATTTCAAGATTGTAGAATAGAATAAATTCTTAAACGTTTCGTTTTGGTTTTATCAATGTGTTGTAATAAATATGCTCGCATTAATAACGGTTTTCTTCAATTTTGTCGTAGTCTAAACTGAATCTAGTCTCCCATGGAAAATTCAGTCAACAAAATATATCGTCTATTCCAACAACCGAAACACAATCCTAAATCATTACAGCTTTCCCATCGTTTTACATGATTGACCTCATATTTCTCAAGAAAACGTGTGATTTCGTTCATGGATCAAATCGACCCGTGTTGGTATATATCGGTACATCAAAACGTCGGTAAACTTAGTGTCAAACGAACACAAGTGATCCCACGTGCAACGTCCGTTAAATTTACATAAAAACGAGTTCTCCGGTCAACATCCACGGAGCTTACGTCATCATAAATCTTTATAGCAACTCATACAAGTGGAACAAGTTCTATAAACTCATTTACAACCCTACAGTGCTTTTAAATTAATTTAAAACATCGCCGCGCGCCGGCGAGTTTTTTAAAATTGATCCCCGTCCGGTTGCATTAAAATAGAAAAATGGTGGAACGAGTAACAGTTATTTTCGACAGTGTTCTCAATATTTCTCGGCGAGTATCAGGCCATGATTTTACACGGAAACGAACTTCAAAAACTTTCCCGGTGGATATTCTCGAACAAAAGTTCCCTAGCGAACGGACTTTCCGGGAAGTCACTAACTTTTAATGATTATAAATTTCATCCCCTAAAAACCGTCTCGCTGCACTCGCATCATCGGTAATGTCTTCCCTTAAAAACGATCGCTACGTGGCAAATATTTCTCCCGGCGACGTGGACAAAATAAAACAGCTGTTCGGTGAGCGTTTATTCGTTGTTCGAACGCTGACGCGACGTGTCGCGCGTTCGTTTACTAATAAACTCGAAAATTACCGGGCGTTAACCGTCATTATTCGCAACGAAGATAGAAATGTACTCGACGATACAGAGGGGCCACGTTGAAAATGTAATGAGTCGTGAAACACACCTATTTATCCACGGAACGACCAAATATTATAGTCGAAATTATTCTCCGATGCGAGAGTTCCATTCGAGGTCTCGTGTTATCGAGCAACACGCGATGCGTATCGAAGTGCGTTCGGTTTAATAGCCGCAGCTTGATAAGGGCGAACATCAT